GTCTTCCCCTCCCCATGTGCTCGGAGGGGGCAGCTGGAGAGATGAGGGGAAGGGAGCGGGAGCTGCGGGGGAGCTCCGGCGTGGGGGGCGGCCGGGGGGGCACTGCCGAGCAGGGGTGCCGGGCTGGGGGTCCCGGCCGTGCCCTCTCACTCGCTCCTCACTGCTGTCCTCCGCAGAGCTGAGCCAAGTGGAGATAACCCGCACCTACCTGGCGAAACAGGCGGACGAGATCTCCCTGCAGCAGGCGGACGTGGTCCTGGTGCTGGGTGGGGAGGACGGTACGTGTCAGCCCCTGGGGACCTGTGGCCGGGGGAGGCTTCCCTTCAGCGGAGTGACAGTGGGGGGGAAAGCTTCAGTGATCCCAGCGAAGCCCTAGCTGCTGGTGCGGTCCGTGTCGCTGGCTGGAGCTGTGTCCCAGCAGACGGCGGTGGGTCCCCGGGGGCCGTGGCTGGCTGGTGCGCATTACTACCAGGAGCGCAGACTGTGGCTGGCAGCCGGCAGCAGAGACCCCAGCAGCGAGAGAAATAAGCCCCAGAACAGGCAGTAAACCAGAAACCTCCTCCCCTGCGCAGCCTTCCCCGGGCGCCTCTGGCTGTCGCCTCCAGGAGAAGGGCAGCGGCGCAGCCCTCACCTCCCACGCGCGTCCCCGGGAGCGGTGGCCCTTCCTCCTCGTGTGCCCAGCTCTGTTCCTCTCCTAGGCTGGTGCTGGGGCGAGAGGCTCAGGGACGGCGAGAGGGGCTGGTTTCCCCAGTCCTGCGCCCGGCAGATCACCAGCCGCACAGCGGTGGAGTGCAACGTCCGCCGGATGGAGCGGCTGCGGATAGAGACCGACGTGTAGGCTTACAGCCAAGGAAAGGTGCCTCTGTCGTGACTTATTTCAGGGGTCTTCGAACCTCCACGGACTGAGCCCGTAGCGAGAAGGGAGCGGGAGATCCTTTCTTCTTGAATTTTGTTTGGAGCAGTCACAGGCGGCAGATCTTATCGTTCAGGACCGGTCTTTGTAGTGGCTGTGACAGCAGCTAATTAATGTGAGCCCCGGCATCCGCCTGCTCTGGCCAACACTAATATTAACGACCTGGAAGAGGTTTCAGGAGGCCACTGGGTGTTGGCTCAAGCTGAAAAGGCCGTGGCTGCGTTCTGGGCTCTGCCACGTGCCGCCTGCTGCCGTCTCGTTCCCTGCTGACCTCTGGGCCGGTGCCGGGGGCAGCGGCCGCACACCTTGTGTGGGAAGAGCCGGGGCACGGGGATGCCATACCCGAATCATGAATTTTTAGGAACTTAAATCTATATGCCAGGCTCCTTCCTTGACCCAATTTTCCCCTCTTTTTCTTTTTTTTTTTTTTTCTTTTTTTCTTTTTCCTCCCCCCTCCCTCAAATTATTCTTGGTTCTTTTAAACACCACTGTGACCTGGGCAGGGTGAGGTGATGCCCACTGACCCTCAGTCCCTCGCCAAGCCGTTGGATGCTGGAGGCTGATGCCGTCAGGGTTGTTCTCGTGGCATCAGCTCTAGGGGCAGGAATGGGATGCTCCAGCCAGAGGGAAGCGATTTGCAAGTCCCACCAGAGGAGCACGGAGAGGAGCAACGCTGCAGCTCCTGCCTGCCTTTGCCCTCTCTGGGGGGGGACGTGGCTGTGCCTGGGCAGAAGGTGGGGGCTCAGTCCACCGTAGCCACGGAGGTCCAAACCCCATCCCTCCTGAGGCAGAGCCGTTCCCTCTCCTGCCCTTCTCCCCCAGAATCGGCAGCGACAGGGGAGGAACGAAGAGGGCTGAGGCCGGGTAGTTCTTTTGTCAGAGCTGGGCAGTTCACAGCTGGGTTTTCCCCGAGCCAGATGTGTAATGCCGCAGGGCCGTCGGGGCGGTGGCTCTGCGATGCTCAGCCCGTCGCACCTCAGGGCAAGAGTAGGGAAAAT